ATTTGTTTTCTTAAGTTTTCGCGGGTACTTACATGTATGGTGTTCGGCTTGGTTCGGGTATTTTCCCACGTCATTGTAGTTCTTTTAAAGTTGTAGCAACGTTTCGACAGAATCTCATCTGCCATCATCAGGCTTCTGTATTGTGTTCGTCTGTGAGTCAGACTTTCACAGCCGTTTCTGTTTTAAATTTGGGGCTAGCCTACTGCTGTGCCAGAATGGTTTTTACTTCATCCTGACTGGTTGGGAGTCTTGGTCTGTGTTTATTGGTCTTGGAGTTTGCTGTGTTCTGCTTGATTGGTGTTTCTAATATCTTCTGTCTGTTTTGTGGCCTTTTTTGACTTGATTGGCTGGCAACATTGTGTTTCCTGTATTGGAGGCTTTTAGTGCGGCTTGGCTCCGAGTAAATGGACGGCTATCATTTATTAGGAAGCTAGGTTTCATCTGGGTGCCTGGTTGGGGTGTGTTTGAGCTGGAGGTATCAGGGGGGATCTGTTTGTGCCCAGGTGTTTGCCTGGCTTGTGGTGTGGAGATTTTTTTTGTTTGTGAGTGCAGGCTTCCAAATAATTGGCAGTCTGGTGGAATCATCTTCTCTATTCATGCTTTCAGGTCTTTTTTCAATCTCTATGGCTTCTCTGATAATTCTGTGGCTGGGGTTTTCTATAGTGGCTAGGGTTTTGGTGCCATTGAAGTTGATGCTATGACCTGTTGCTTTCATGTGTTGGACTAGTGAGGAAGTGTGTTCCAGCTTGTGAGACCTTGTGAGATTTACTGCTGTGGTATCCTTGGTCTTGTGTTGTGATATCCTGGGTCATTTGCTGTGTTGCAACTTCTTGAGTTCTTGTGGTGTAATTTCCTGAGTTTTCGGATGTGATGTCCTGAGCGGGTGGCTGTGATATAGCATTCTGGGTTTTAGTCTGGCTTCGAGTTTGGGGTCTGGGTCTGTGTTCTTGGCATGTGTCAGCTTGTTTGGTTTTGGGGTCAGGGAGTGCGATAGCTGGCGAAGCAGCCATGGTCTATTTTCTGGATGGTGGTTGTCCTTCATTTATAGGATGGGCTTGGGCCTGGGTCTGATGAGGGGGATTGGTGGTGGTGTGCCATGTTGTTTTGGGTCTGGTGTTGGTTTTCGTGGCTCACAAAGTCATCACACAACCCATTACCCAAGCCGTTACTACACAAGAGGCTAATGGAAAAGAGATCAAAACACAAACGACCCAGGAGATTATAACGCAGGACCCAGGATACCACAACAAAAGAACTCGCAAGCCCATCACACAACCCATTACCCAAACATGAGAGGCTAATGGAAAAAAGATCACTACAAAACAAACGACCCAGGAGATTACAGCACAAGATCCAGGATATCTCCACAACAAAACTCACAAGACCATCACACAGCCCATTATACCAACATCAACTCCATCAACCAATCAAGAGCGAGCAGCGCAACCAACCAGCCCAGCACACCAACCCCCACCACCAGTATTTATAGAGAGACGGCAGCTCCGATCACACACTGCTTGCACTGGCACGAAGCCGAAAGCACCGGCCTGAGGATGGCGAGTGGGACCTCACCGAAACGTTGCCAAGATACTCTTAATCTTACATGGGAAAAGACCCGAACACACCTAGACTATATACATACATACATACATACATACATACATACATACATACATACACACACACACACACACACATACATACATACCGATAGATAGATAGCCTGATAAGTAAGATATATGTAGACAATGCTACTAGAAAAGCTTTGTACTACTTAATGAAATGCAAACTTTTAAAAACAAACGTATGGGATTTACTTTTGTTTGAAAACTATGTCAATGGATTTCATTTCAGTATTTCAGTTCTATCAGATATATAACTCGTATGTAGTTCTGTCCAAGGAACTGGAATCCTGCTACTATATGGTAAAGGTAGCGTGTTAACTGAGCTTTCATTGCTTCTGCATTTGTTTGACTGAATGGTTTCTCTTCTCTAATTTTCCTCTTTCAGAAAATGGCAGCACTTGTCCAGTCCTTGCCTTTGCCCTGTCTCCTCATCCCAACCACACCTATGTATTCAAGCGAGAGCCTCCAGAGGGTTGTGAAAAAATCCATGCTTCTGAGGAAGCAATGTAAGTAAGAGTCACCTTTACTGTTTGAAGCTATTGGTGATAGAACAAAAAATTGAGGCTCAAGTGCAGAACAGCCCTCCATATAATGCTGATAAAATTATGATAAAAGAACCAATTCTAATCTGGGTTGCATGCAAACAATTCCACAAAGCACTGATAGATAAGTATTTTGTCATCTTTATACTAAATATCTTTCAAAGAGATACAATCTAGTTACATCTTATTCTTATATTAATCTTGGGATATATTATATTATATTAATATAATATTATATTAATCTTGGGAGACAAGCTGATCATAAGATCAGGATTGATTCAAGGTAATCTTGTTCTCTCCGCTCCTGCTCTTAAACTGATGACACCTATTTTTCTAAATATATTTATTGCTATGCTACATATTTCAAATGCAAAGCAAACAATAATAAAAGCAAAATGTAGGTGTTATCAGACTTCTAGTATAGTTTTTTTTTATGATCTAGAAATCTTTTCTGTTCTAGCTCCTCAACAAACTATAATCTAACCCATTTATGGTATGAACTGAGTTTATTCTGAGACAAGGTTAGAGGAGTGTTTCAAATGTACACTTGCAATCTATTTTTGTTTCATTGCCAAAACAGTTCAATGATTCTATCTACAAAACAGATTTGGGATGGATAATATTTAGAGTTCAAAAGTAATTAAATGATTCAATACTGGCATTGTATTTATTTCTTGGTAATCACTGTGTATCTTGGATGAACTACTGTGCACATTAGTGGGTTTATGACACTGTAATAAAGAATTTTGCACATTGTGACACTTGAGACTTCCGGTGGTAAGGCAAGGACGAACAGAGGTGCAGAAGCCTGTCCGTGGTTTCAGTTAATCTCTTCTTGTGGTTGGTGCGGTCCTTTGAGGGTGCACAAGTCCCGGAGAGATTCGTGCTGGTGTGGGGGAGATTCGGGTTGCAGTGTGGGGAAGGCAACCCCCCTGCAGCGAAGAGGAGCCCTCCAGAGCCCAACAAGCAAGAAACAAGCCTATCAATGGCGGCTCCGAAGTCCGGACTGCCACTGATGTAAAGAAGCAAGCGAGTGACAATTTGTGGGATCATTGGTGAAGAGTGTGGCAGAGAAAATTAGCGGCGGAGAGGATGATTGGAATACTATAGACTTTTATAAGGCTGTTACAAGTGTCTGTCCGGAGCCCTAAAAGGAAGAGGCCAAAAAGCAGATGTGAGGCAAGTGAAAGTGAAGGGGTTGGCAGACAGAAGAAAGATAGAGGACAATAACGAGTAAAAAGGGAAGTTTACGAGGTCGGGAGATATGCCACACCAATAATAATAGAAGGGAATCTAGCGGCTGGAAGGTGACTGGAAGGTGTGGAGGATTTGGACTATTTCATTCAATTTTTATGTTGAAAGACTTTATTAAAGCGGAGACTGGAAGAAGATCAGAGCTGACGGAACAGAGACAATGTGGCACCACAGGCGATACTTAGAAACCCTGAAGTTATCGTAACAATATAACTGATATAAACTACTTAACTGCCCTTCAGGGAGCATACTGATCTAACTGAGGAGATGGTTCCATCTGAAGAAAACCAGGAAAATTGAACTTAGGAACACTAAGACGAAAAGTAAAAGTGGAAGCTTCCGAATGTGTGGAGATACCGTGTAATTACAGTTACTACTCAGCATTTTTTACCTCCCCACTTCCAGTGCGTTTGGAGTGAAAGCTCTTAAACTTGGAGACGGAAAGCTAAAAACTTATTTCAAAATTCCTTTTTCCCCTTCTTTACTCCCTTTTTCCTGTATACATTTGCTCATTTTTTCTTTATTCCCCCACCATCCGGTGCAATGATGAACTATCTCTCCTCTTCAATCTCTCTTTATAATGATTATAAATATGTATACTGGGGAAAGGAAAAGTGATTGTTGTAATTGATTGTTAAATAATTGAATTAACTGATTTAATTGATTTATTAATAATAGTGATAGTTATACTTTGATTAGATATATAGGGAAAATAGTAAGAACATTAAGTATTATTTAATTAATAACTATAGGATTTTATATATTAATATTATAATTCATCGTGCGATCACAATCCACTTGGGGATGAATGTAATACTGTTTGTGTTTAAGAATATTTAAAATAAGGTTAGATAATACATATATTTATTTATAATATTTAAATATAGTTGGATTTGGTTATAATATTTATATATATATATATATTTTATTACATGAAGTTATGTATAGAGGCTGAGCATTGAGACCTTACAAAATTATATATGTGATTTAGAATTTGGATTTAAAATAATATAGTGATAATATTTTTATCTATAAGAACTTATACTCCAGTAACCAGCTAAAAGCACAGCTATCCAGCAGATAGATAGATTAAGTAATTAGATACCGGTCAATCCTAATATAGAGATTCTATTACTGAATGTTAATTTGGGATAATATAATTAACATATTACAACAACAGAAACAAATCTTAAAAGAAATGACTTCCACAACAACTACAGCTCTGAAAACTGGAAGAAAGGTCATCCCGACGTTAACAACTACATCAGCAACAGCTTTGCCCATGGCACAAAAAACCATTAAAGAAACATTACCAGTGGAGAAACAAGCTAACATCTCGAATGCCAACATCCAATCAATTCTGCTGACTTTACAGGAATCAATGATGAAGCTGCAAGAAACAATGATGAAAAACCATAATGAGACGAGAGCAGATATCAGTGAACTAAAAGAGATGGGGAAATTAAAAGCAGAAATGAAAGCGGATATCTCCAAAGTAGAGGACAAAGTTGGATTATTACAGCAGGCCTTGGAGAAAAATGAAGCAACTATAAAAGAGGTAGAGAAAAGGACTGAACGAACTGAAAGGAAATTAGAAAGGGCAGATGAAGAATTAAAGAATGTGAGTAAAGAAGTGGAGGACTCACTGGTCTACCTAGAGATGGATAGGGCTGCTACATACTTGAGATTCCAAAATGTAGTGGAATCCAAAGAAGACAACTTGGAACAACTAATGGCAGGAATATTGGCTGGACTATTGGAAAAAGATAAAGATGACATCTTGAGGGAGTTTGATGAAGTTTACAGAGTTAGTACTAATTATGCGAGACGCCACAAATGCCCAAGAGAAGTCCATATACGATTTACGAGAAGGAGTGTCCGGAATATCATATATAGGATGTCAAGAGATGAAACAACCATGTATAAAGGCAAAGAAGTCTTGGTTCTCAAACAAATACCAAGAAGAGTAAGAGAACAAAGATGAGATTATAAATTCTTAGCAGCTTACCTAAACCAGAAAAGAATCATATTTAAATGGCTAATCCCAGAGGAGATGTTAGTTTCTTGGGACGAAAGGAAAATCAAAATAGACTCCATGGAAAAGGCCCAGGAATTTTATGAGCGATTGGTAGACCTGGAAGACCAGAGCAGTAAAGATGAACTGGAAACGAACTCCCAGGAAGATCAAGATCATAAGAACAGATAAGAAGATCATAAGAACAGAGATGGAACTTTAGGAAATCAAGGAAATACTCAATTACAACAGGACAGAGAAGAAAGTAGGACACATCTTCAGGCACAAGGAGAGACCGGAGCCATTATAAGACAAAGAGTGAAACAGAACTAATTAAATGGAAGAAGAAAAGAGACTACTATCAATTAATATAAATGGTTTAAACTCGACGATAAAAAGGAAAAGGATAATAGCTAAACTAATCAAACAAAATGCTGATATAGTATGTCTACAAGAAACTAATATAAAGAAAACAGATGAAAAATACTTAGAATGTCCAAAATTAGAGAAGCTATTCACCGCACCAGCAGACGCGGGGAAAAAGAAAGGGATTGCAGTATATATTAAAGAGGATTTGAAAGCAGATTTAATATGGTCAGATTCTGAGGGAAGAACTCTGGTTTTGCAGATCTGGATTAACGCCATCCCAATTCTCTTAGTGGTAATCTACGCTCCAAATGGAGATCAAAAAGAGTTTTTTAAGCATCTTTATGGAAAAATAGTAGGATTGGAAAAAAGAAATATTTGTATTATAGGGGACTTTAATTCTATTGCTGATTATCAAAAAGACCACAGTAATGTGGGAAGGAACAAAGGGGGAAAAAGAGAGCTTCCCAAGATATGTATGGAAATGATGGAGTTAAATTTGATTGACATATGAAGAAGATTACATCCTGAGGAAAAACAATTTACATTCTATTCAAATCCTCATCAAATATGGACACGAATTGATATGTCATGGATGAATGGGGAAATAGCAAATGAGCTAAAAGGGATTGAAATTTTACCCAATGAATGGGCAGATCCCAATCCAATTCAGATAATATGGAAGGGTAGGGAAAAACCCAAGGAAAGATGGACATTAAATACTTAGTTGATAAGAGAAAAAGAATATACCAACAAACAAGGAAGAATTAAACTATTTTTTAAAGTAAAATGATAATGGAGCAAATATGAAACAAAACATTTGGGATACAATGAAGGCAGTAATAAGAGGTATAACAATCTCTTATAACGCCAAGAGGAATAAGGAAAAATACACCCAGCAAAACAAATTACAACAAAAAATTAAGGAATTAGAAACTCAATTACAGAGTACCCCAAAGGATTCAAAATTGCAAAATCAGATAACAATAACTAAACATAAATTGAATTTAATTGAACAAGAGAGAATGATTATAAATTTGAATACAACTAGACAAATTTATTTTGAGCATGCCAATAAGCCAGGGAGATGGCTATCATACAGACTTAAAAAAAAGGAAAGAAAAGAGATTGATATACCAGCTAATAGATGGAAAGGGGAATATACAACAGGAGATAGAACAGAAAAAAGAAATTGCCCATAAGTATTTTGAAGAGTTATATAAAAAGGAAGAAGTAAAGGAAGATAGGATAAGAAACTATTTAGATGAAATGAAGGATAAAGCAATTGGGGAGGAAATGGAAGAATTATTATACAAAGACATTACTTGGTTCGAATTGAAATCAGCAATAGAGAATCAGAAAAACAACAAATCCCCGGGACCAGATGGGATCCCAGGGGAGCTGTACAAGGCAACAGCAGAACAAATAGTACCTCTTATGGTGGAAGTTTTTAATGACGTCTTATTGGCAGCCAGGATGCCGGACTCATGGAGGGGGGCATTGATTTCGCTGATCCCGAAGGAGGATTCGGATCTCCGATATATACAAAATTATAGGCCGATTTCATTGTTAAATACTGATTACAAAATATTTACTTCTATTGTAGCAAGTAGACTAAAAAGAATATTAAATGAGCATATACATGAAGACCAAAATGGATTTCTCCCGACCAGACAAATCAGGAATAACTTAAGAATAGTATTAGATGTTTTAGAATTTTACGAAGCCCACCCCAAAAAACAAATTGCACTTATGTTTTTAGACGCAGAGAAGGCCTTCGATAATTTAAATTGGCAATTTTTAATCCAAAAGATTTATAATATGAATTTAGGCACCAAATTTGAAAATATTATAACAACCATTTATGATACACAACAGGCTAATATTATAATAAACGGGGAATATACCCGCCCAATAAAAATTGAAAAAGGAGTCAGACAGGGCTGCCCACTCTCACCCCTGCTCTTCATATTATCACTAGAAGCATTATTAACACGAAACAGAACCCAGACATAAAAGGATTAAAGGTTAAGAAAGAAGAATATAAGTTGCAAGCATTTGCAGATGATACGATTTTCTTCATTGAAGAACCAATAGAAAAAGGACAAAAATTGATAAATGAATTAGAACAATTTGGAGCGGTAGCAGGACTAAAAATTAATAGGAAGAAAACAAAATTAATGACCAAAAATTGAACAGAAAAACAGAAATTAGAACTAGAAGAAGTTATGGGAATACAAGTGATAAAGAAAGTTAAATACTTAGGAGTATGGTTGACAGCACATTGTAAGACACTTAAGGAAAATAATTATGATAAATTGATGTAGCAGGTAAAGAAGGATTTAGAAACATGGGGCAAGCTGCAACTTTTATTATTAGGCAGGATCGCTGCTATTAAAATGAATATTCTTCCAAAATTCCTCTATATATTTCAGATGATCCCAAAGTACACAATTTCTTTTTTTGAAGAACTTAATAAAATAACTGTAAAATTAATCTGGCAAGGGTATAAACCTAGAATAAACTTAAAGGCAATGCAGGATATGAAGAGCAGGGGAGGGCTGGCACTTCCAAATTGGGAGTTGTATTATAGTGCAGCCTCTTTAGTATGGTTGAAGGAATGGGTGAATTTAACCAATAAGAGAATATTATTCTTAGAAGGCCATGACTTGCAGAGGGGGTGGCATGCTTTTTTATGGGATGTTGGGAAAACTAGCCAGAAATATTTTCACAGACACCTAATCAGAGATTCATTATTGACTAATTGGAAGAAAATATGGAAAAAAACACTATTTAAAAATACCAATTTGGATCTCAATAATGGAGGCGATGATTCACCCAAATAATCTGGATATTACTAAATGATTAAATATAAGGACCTATTGGATACGCAAGGAAATCTGAAATCGTGGCAAGAACTTCAAGATTGGGGATTAAAAATTGATCAGCGGGCATATCTTCAAATTCAAAGTAGATATAAACAGGACAAGAAAGAATTTGGAATTAACAATAAACTCCAGCAATTAGATAAAATTTTATTAGGATCAGGCAAAAAAAAATTATAATTATTTATTAGAAGTAGAATTAGAAGAAGAATTGTAAAAGGGAACATGATAGCCTGGAGTAGGAATATAGGACGTAGTATCACCATAACAGAATGGGAAAAGGTCTGGGGTAGAAATAATAAAATTACAAAATCGGTAGCATACAAAGAAAATGCCTATAAAATGTTTTATAGATGGCACCTTTCTCCTTCGAGATTAGCGAAGATGCACCCCAATATGAGTCCGAATTGCTGGAAATGTAACAAAAAAGAGGGAACTTTCTTCCATATGTGGTGGTCCTGTACAGAAGCTCAAAAATATTGGCAGAAAATTAGAAATTGGCTGGAGGAAATGACAAGAGAACAGATCGAATTCAAACCAGAGTCCTTTCTATTAGGGATCTTTAATAAACAAATACCAAAAAAAAAAGTGAAATACATAATAATACATATTTTGACAGCATCCAGATTGGCTTTTGCACAATGTTGAAAACAGTCTCATGTTCCATCAGAGGAGATGATTATTCAAAAAATTTCAAGTTGTGCAGAAATGGATAAATTAACTTTGGCATTAAAAAATAAAGACACTTCAACATAGTACAACAGCTGGAACTGCTGGTACAAATGGATAGACCAAAGATAGATTTCACACTAAAAGGCAAAGAGGATAGGATAGAACCGTAGTAGTGATATATAGATATATATAAGGATTAAGTGTGTATATGGCATAAAATAAGGATAAAAAGGAGGTCTCACAGACTGTTGAAGTTGAAAATGTTTTTAATTGTTTTCTATCTTTTTCTTTCTATTTTCTTCTTTCTTCTTTTCTTTTTCTCTCTTACATTTATGTATGTGTTGCTGGTCTGTTTTAATCGTAAAATCAATAAAATTTATTTAAAATAAAAGAATTTGCACATTGTAAACTGAAAACTTCTAAATCGATATTTGTTGTACAAAATACAATTTCTGTTACATCAGGCGCTTGGTGAGAATCTCCCCCATTTTTGCTGCAAAGTGCAATATCCTGAAAGACACAACAGTCCATGCCTATTTTTAAAAAATGTCTTATTTGTTGTGCTGTCATCCTGTAACGTATCAAAATCTAAAATACTTGTTACTGTTAATTCTTACATATCTTATAATTCTGATTTTTCTTTTTAGGCCTGATCAGCCTTTCCTGCCTTCTTGTCCTGATAAGAGCAAAGTCTACTTCAAACCAACAGGCTCTGCCTTCTGCCAGTTTAGTCTGGTGAAGCCTTTTATTCCCAAAGTAAACACCCTGTACCGAGACTTCTCTTCCTCTGCCAACCCAAAGTCCTCAGGCACATTTTCCCCTTGCCAAGCCACTACCGCTGTCCCCATCCTCACTTTACAGAAAAACTTGAGGGGAGATAACTTCAATGAAAATCCAAAATCTCCTTCATTAGGCTTGGAGTCCTGGAAACGGCACCAACCTGAAGACACTGTCCTCTTTCATAGTTCTGTGGCCGTCTGAAGAATAGGGAGTGGAGTAGAGGCAAAATAAATTCATGGTCCTTCCAAGGCCTGTAGAAAAAAGTGCCTTGATACTGGGAAATTGAATGATCCCAGCAACAGCCTTAAAGTAAAGATTGCCATTGGACTCCTTTCAAAGAGCACTTCATTCTGTTAAGCATCTCTGTCAGTGTCTTTCTGCTACTCTGCTATCCAAAGAGAAAAGATAGCATCTTCTCATTTGGAATACATAAGACAATTAATTACAAGGATTGTCTTTCTCTCTGCTTGCTTTTGTGAGGCAGGAGCTCATTGATGGTGTTTAAATGTTCCTAGAGATGTTTCTCAAGGTTCCTACAGAATAGAGTATATAATGAATATGAGATGCCAGAACTTGCATATGCTGATTGAAATTGATGTCACTGGATAAAAATTGAGCAGAGTAGTGTTTCATGGGGTCTCAAGTCTGCAATACCCTGTTAAGATTCTTTTCATATCCTGCTCTGCATTGTATGGCTTCACATCACTGGAATACAGTCAGCTAAATGCTTTGAAGTATTTTTTTTTCATAATGATTATCCCGCACCAGATAGTTGACTAAAAAAATTATTCAAGGTGTGTCTTAGAGATAAAGATCTTGAGTCCTCATAAAAAGGAACAGCAGTGTCCTATTTGCAGTTTTTCCAGAATTTGTTTTTCAAAGAACTTTGTAGAATGAGATTGAAGCCCAAGCCATTCTTGAGGGATGCAGCTGCCAGTGGAATTAACAAATGCTAAATGTTTCATCTTGACACTACAACCCTTCTAGCCCATGAATTGGAAAATCCACTCAGTTTTATACTGATTTTAAGAAGACTCCAAAGATCCTATGTTTACCTTCACCTTCATCCTATACCTCTAGCCAACCCCTTTAGTGGATAGGCCTTAAACCTGGTGATGTCTTGATTGCAAAGTATATTTGGAAGTCATATTTTATTATTAAGTTTATAGATTGTACTAGGAGGGTTTTATGAAATTGAGAAACTATATTTTCTTTTGAAGACAGTATTTTTGCAGTACTTTTGAAGTTTTTGTAAATGTTATGTACTGTATGCACCATGAAAAGCTTAATGAAAAAATCTTAAGCCTCAGAGGTTCATTGCATCTTCGGTTGAAAGGTTTTTGCAGATTCTTGGTGTTTAAACCAAATAAAAGAACGATAAAAATGTTGAGTATCAAGTATGTTTATACTGCATTATGTTAAAAAAGGAGGTGGTAATGGTCAAAATAGCTTGGATTGATTTTCATATTTACAGTTGTATTATTTATAGCCTTACAAGTTTATACTGCACGACCAAAACTGAATGAGATCTGACTGATGGATTGAGTGATATTATCTACCCATATTCTAGATACTACATTAAGCAATTACTTTTTTCATGTAGTCACTGGTAAATATTTAAAAATTTGACAATATTTGTGGTTACACTCAGAAAATATCTGTATATTCATACTGGCTGCATGATAAGCAGGCCAGTTGTAAAACATCCAGTTATTAGAAGATATGGTTTTACTTGCTAGTCCTTATAGCCCCTGCAATATGCCATCCTTGTAACTTACCTCCCACCACCCTGGACTTGACCTTTGGTAGTCCTCAACCACTTTGTTTTAAGAACACTAAAGAATTTGCAAATAAGAATGGTGTTCTATTCCCTAATGCATAGGTAACAAACAGGAGAATGCTTAACTTTGATTAAACAGTTTAAGTTTCACACAAACCTAATGGGATGAGAATCATGAATGGAACATGATTTTCATGATATATTATTTGTACAAAAGAAGTAGAACAAAAAGATGGAATGGGTTTTTAGGCTTTCTTTTTAAGTCGTATGTTCGGTGAAGAAGTTAAAATCCCTCAATATCATGTTAAAAGTATTTGGGTAAAATAAATATATTCTCTACAAGTCTTTCTGCTTCTCAAACTGCCAGTGAGGCTGCCTTTCATCCATGTAGCTCTCTTAAAATTTTAAATCCTAATGGGAATTGTTCGAGTCTGTGCATATATTTTTAGGGTTTCTAATTCCTCTTTAAGTTGTTTAATTATAATTTTAAGATAGAGTATTTGTCTACCTTTTTAAAATCTGCTTTCCTGGAGTCCAAGATACATGAATGACTTCTCAGCAGTTAAACTAGTTGTAGGTAATTTGAACCCCAACATGATTTTCTCCAAGTCTCTTTTTGCCCTCCTCTTAATTCCTATTAGATAGCTAGCCACCTTGTTTTTTCTTTCATCATCTGAAAAATACAATTCTCAGCAAAGCAGATAATAAACTTACATATTTTTGACACAGTTTTCTACCAAAGATGAGTTATTACCACTGTATAACATGATGAGTTGATTTAGAAAGGCATTCTTCACATTGTCAACTGGGTTAAAAAAAACAACAGGCAGATCTACTGGCTAAAGTACCAGGCTGGAAACCCAGAGATGTGGGAGATCCATCTTAGCATGAAAGCCACCTGGGTGGCTTTGGGCCAGTGACTCATTCTCAGCCCAACTCACCTCACAGGGTTGCTGTTATGTGGCAAATAGGAGAGAGTATTATATATATTTACCCCTCTAGTTATTTGTAAAAATAATAAGGGCAGGATTTTAAAATGTTATTTATATAAATAAATGGCCTATAAGAAATTCCTACAATGGAGTATCCTTTTTATTTCTTGCCCCTTCTAGTATCTCAAGCCTGCAGTAATGGAGCAAAGCTTAGAATGAAGTGAGCTGTGAGGACACAAAATACTCAAGGGAATGAAAGGAGAGTTTGAGTTATTTCATATAGAAAATATTGGGAAATAATGTACCATATGGAGAGGTTAAAATTCCATCTTTGCATCCCTCTCTCAAAAAAGAGATATCTTTCTCAAAAAAGATATCTTTCTATAGAGACACAGAAAACTAAAATGCACTTGGACTGATGTTTGTACTGAGGAAAGCACCATGATCACTTGTCAAGCAGTATTGTCGATGTAGAATTATATGTTCTTTGTAACAAGTCAGAATGGGCATCTCAGTAACAAATGGCATCAAGTAAACCCTCTTTATGATAGTGTCTACTTTGGTACCCCAAGGGAACAATAAGGATATAATATGTCTTGATTTCAAAGTCATCACTATTGATAAAATGGATAAATGTGGGTTAGACTGTTTTGCACTCTGATAGATTTGGAATTGACTGAACCACACTGCAAGAATGTTAGTAAATGGCTTTGCAACAATACTTATGGGGGGAAACAGTAAAGTGGCCTATGCCCTTAATTTAGTGCTATAATATTTATAAAATAACATTCTGAATGGATGTTTATCAAATTAGCATATGATATCAAGCAAGGTAAATTAACTAAATACTTTGAAGGTCAAAATCACAATTCAAAATAAGATTTAATGCATGAAATCTAAGGGTGATCATCTTTGATAAATGTAATAGCTTACATCCAGGTAGAAAAATAAATTTTATGAGTACACAATTAAAGAAACTTAGCTTGGTGACAATGCATATGAGAAGGAACTACTACCACTGAATCATGAGTTAAAACATGATCAATGGACATACCAGCTAAAACATCCAGTGCAATCTCAGTTGCAGAACCAAAGCAATTAGTCCAGATCATAATAGTTGAACTTTCATTGGATGTGTCTGTTGTATGATGTCCAATGTTAGCTGGACAGGATCAAATGATATCAAGAAGTCTGATAATTAAACCCCATGAGAAACAAAGGACTTGTACAAGAGAAGTCCAGAGTTATGTTTCTCAATTTCTGTTAATTTTAAGATATGTGACTGACTAGGAAATTTTGGCAATTGAAGTCCACATATCTTAAAGGTTGCCAAAAACTTTGGAGGAAGGTGGAGTGGTTTGCAATATAAAAAAAGGTTTCCAAAGATAAGGCAATCCTGGTCCCATTGAAACTGAAAGCAGAGCAAGAATCATTGATTTAATTAAAGAAAAGTTTCACTGAACTCTGGTAAGACCTGGCTGTGGTGGGATCCTCTACATCCATGAGCCAGTCATCTTTGGTCCTGGATGAAGTTGCATTATCCTAGACAGATTCAGTGCACAACCTGGGGATACCTCTTGAACTCACAGCTCTTGCTTGAACAGCAGGTGGCAGCCATCATTAGAGCTGTTGCTTGACTATGTTTACCCAGTTACATCCTTTTCTGGATAGGAAAGTTCTCTTCCAAGTCATTCATGCCCTAGTCATTTCCCATTTGGACTATTGCAGCGCAATCTACATGGACCTACTCTTGAAAAGGTATCCAAATGCTTCACCTGGTGTAGAATGTAGCCCAGGTGGCACATGTAACACCTCCACTCCGTGAGTTGCATTTGATATGGATTTGGTTCTGAGCCCAATTCAAGATGTTGATTATGATATATAAAGCCCCACATGGTATGGGGCCAAGCTACCAATGGAACTTTTGTCCCATTACCAGTCAGGCAAGTAAGGTCTGCTGCAATCAGAATTAACTCTACCATTGCCTCCACCCTGTGCAATACTCACCAGGGATGAGGTATTGCCTAAAATTTCACACAGCCGTGGGGTTGGCTGGTCTCTTCGACTTTTCAAATGATTTTTTTTAAACAGGGCATAATTATTCTTGCGTCCCTCTTAAAAAAAAAATCGAAATTATATTTTGACATTTTATTGTGCACCACCCACAATCCTCTGATGGAGATGGGCAGTTCATTAAGTAGGTAGGTAGGTAAATAAAATAAAATGTGAGCTACACAAGCAATTTGCTAGAACCACAAAGCGAATGTCCTTCAGGCATCTTCTTTGCCATCTTTATTTCACCATCCGCAAACCCATCCACCTCCCCCAAGCGTTGCTCTCGGGAACGTCATCCTCGCCTCTCCCCACCAGCAATGAAAACGCGACACGAAGTTCGATTCGGCCGGGTAATCACGGCAGACACGTTTGATGACGTCTAAAACAGTCGCCCTGTTTCTTCCTAAGCCCCTATTATAACTTCGTGGCGTGTAGAGGCGCATTTCCAGCACGGAAAAGCAAAGGAACGCATAGAACTGCACGGGAAAAAGAAAGGAAAGGATGCCGAAACACTTTTTCCGTCCGGCAGTTTCTCTTCAGCAGGGCTAGGCTGGTCAGGCAGCGTATTAGATCACTCCTGTGGAGTTGGAAAGGTCCTTTTTTGTCCACAGCGCAGCCGCCTCTATGAGGTCCTCTTTTCCGCCACCGTCGTTGCCGGTGCGGGATGAGTGCGTGGAGCTATCATCACTGAGAGTATCTGGACCCGAAACTACTGCACTGTCGGCCATGGGGACGACTGGAGGGTCAGGAGGCGGAGGAGTTTGGCTTTTCCCCGAGCGGCTGCGGTTGCCTCTCTGCTGTCTGGGTGTCTTCGTGTGTTACTTTTGGTACGGCGTCCTCCAAGAGACAATGTAAGTCACTTGAGGAGAACGCTTTCTTCTTTGCAGGACTGGCTTGAGATGTTTTTGGTTCTGGCTGGCGGAGATTTCAATGCACCCTCTGAGAAACTTCCTTCCCAATTGCTGTCTTTCCTAATAGATGTTGTTCGTATCATCACTCTTTCTAAGCTCCTGATCTGCATTGACAAACACTTGGTTACTGTGACTCAGATAACAACCCGCAGGTTCCCGTTCCTCTTTTGAAATCTACCGTCGCTCTTTCTGACAGTCTCGGTCTGATTTCTGATTTAGCTACATTTACAGGGGTATCCGTCTTCGGAATTTAAATTTACCAAGATCATATTGTTAAATGTGCTGTATTCGAACTATAACAAATCAGTGGCCAGATAGCAGCAGATATGATCTGTCTAAATTTAAGTCCATTGATTCAATGGATCTAGTCTAATTAAATCTGTAGTACAAATTTAACAGTTGTGCAGCAGGTAGAAATCCCACAGATGACAATGCTTTACTACTGCTTATGGATGGATAGCTGACAAAAACATAATTACACAAACTGTCAGTTACATGGTTATTAAAAGCATTACAAACTGGAATTGGCAGTATATGTGTGTATATGTGCCTCACTGAGATTTAAAGATTTATTAGCATTTACAGATAGCCAGTTCAAACTAAGGAAAGAGTTTTGGCTTGGTTACATATCTTTCTGAGGTTAGTGCAGTATCTTATAGTGAAGCATTTTCCAGTTTATTTATTTATTTAGCATATGGCAAATACATGGACTTATAGTGGTTCAAATGTTAATGTCTGGTCCAACCAGCTATTCAAGGACAGGGTGGTCTATGTTGGGGGGAAAAATCAAATATTGGGACAGTGTAAGCTTGTGATGGACATTGGGGCAGTGTAAGCAATGTGATGGATATTTTGTTGAGGGCCACAACAGTCACACTGAGGGGTAGAAACAAGACCCCACTTAAACAATGAGTCCTGGCAGACACCATGTTGGGTACAGATCCTGTTCAGAGTTGACCAATGGCAAGGAAGATAAAAACTTGGCACCTTTTGTATAGGATCTGCCTGTATCTGGGCATTAGCCCATTTGGCTTTCCACTGTGATCTCAAAGTGGTTAGACAACTGTTGACTGAATGCCAGAGAGGGCTTCCTGGATTTAAGCCTGCCAGTTGATAGGTGAGAAAGATCAGCATGCACAGGAAGAAGTGGGTTTCTCATAATTTTGTTAAACTCCTTCATAGAGCTGGTGGTGCAATATGACTCAACACGGGGAGCCCGCAAGTAGGAGTAGTTTTTATGCAGCCGCTTATGATCCTCATTGTATCATTTAGTCTAGCATCGATCTTACTAGTATGGCAGCTATTAAACTAAACGGGTGCAACTTTCCAGTCAGTTGTTTCTTTAAAAACAGTACCCCTAATTTCATAACATTATTTCTGTATTACATGCAGAGAATTAATTGATCAGTAAAATGATTAAGATTAATGATGTAAAATAAATAGAGTGATACATAATCTGTAATACAGCCTTAAACTATAGTTCTTGCTATAGTTATTTGGGAATAACAATTAAACATTCTTCACATAGAATTTCACTATCCTAATACAAGAAACAATAATTCTAAGTATATTTGTGTTCAGTAAACTTCCTTTTTCATATTAGGTTTACCTCAAATCATTATTTTTTTTAGAATTGTTTACTTAAAATATAAAAAGTAAGTTACAACTTTTTTAAAAAAAAAACAAGTTTTATTAATTTTCAAAACACACAAATCATCATTATCCATTACATGTTTAAACCTTTTTCCATTATAAATTTAACAAGTCAGATAAACTATAATTCTGTTTTAAACCATTTCCATATAAACATACAAAAACCTCTTGTCCAATTTCTCTTTACTTCTCTTTACTCTTATTCAATTTCATTATTATTATTTCATCTATTTCTTTCTGACTTAGTTACCATTATTCTCATTCTATATTTCTGCAAGGTTTTATTAATTCTCCCAAAAAAAAAAACATATACACACAACACATAAAACATAAAAAAAATATTTTTGGAAAGTAACTTGGACCCAGGTATCTCTCTCTTCATGGACTTCAATTATATTCATGCTCATCTTACATATCATTACTTATTTTATTTACCATTCTAAGCTTTCTATATTAACTTCTCCACATATTTCACTCTTCTTAATTCTATCTTAATTAATCATCTTAATTTGAGTCATTATATTTGTATCTTTTGTCCATTCTTTATTGTCCCTTTGTCTCGTTCCTTATAAAAAAAAGAAGTTTCTCCTGAAATCACTAATCAGAGTATGATGCCTTTCTATCTCCCCCCTAAATTAATCAAATTAACCTTTAAAATAACGCCCAATACCCAATCTGATTTTGCTTGGTACATTCTATCTAAATAGTACATCCAGAGTAATTAAATACATAGTTAAACAATAAATCTAAATATTAAAAACAAATACTATAATAGAAATTTTATAATAACATCAATACCATAATCTTATTAAACTCTTTAATTAAAACTCAATATTCTAAACCTCCCATCATATTATTAAATTTTAAAACCAATCATTATTAAACATTTCAACATTTTAATCTCTTATCAACTCTTAAACCATTTAAGTTTTCTATTTCTAATACCATACTACAATATCATCTTATGTACCTTGCAAAATCTTTTTGAAGAAATTATCCTTTATCCTTTATCCCTAAAAAAGATTCCTTTTTTCCCATTTAATTTCAAAACTTTGTAGCTTTTCTCCACCTTTTCCCTTTCTTTCTTCTCCCAACAAACCTTTCTACCCCCCCTTCTTCTAGCCTCTGCCTTACTGGCTTCCCTTCTCTGTCGTGTTCCTTTTCCCTTTTGTTTACTATCATTATATTGATTTTGCACCTTATTTTTCCCTTTCTTAAGTGTTTTTTTAAATCTTAAGTCCTTTATTTCTCTTCCTTTCACTCTTCCTTCTTTCTTGGTCGAGTTCTGAAATTTAATAAAAATGGCTTCCTTTCCTTCTTCTTTTTCTGCTGTCTTCATCTGTTGTAATGTTTGTTGATAGTTAATAAGCGCCATTTCTAAAAAAAGGAAGGCTTCTTTCAAACCAGATTTACCTTTTTTTTTTTGCTTGTTCATAATCTTTTCTCAGTTCCTCAATAGAAAGAGCCATTATAAATCTTTTCTTTTCCCCTTCTTTCTTCTTACAACAACCAGAATATTCCAAAGAAAAAATAAAGCAGTCCCAAAGTTATCAATCAGTCCAAACCAAGGCAGAGTTCTCACTTTCTCCTCCTGGGGTAGTATCAATCAAAAAAAAAAGAAAGTCCAAATCTGTTTCTTAAAATCTTATTGCAATATATTTTAGTCTTCAAATCCTTAAGGCATCTCCTCCAACAAAGTCTTAGCATACAAATATTATTTTTTTTAGTCCTCTCTCTTCCCACTCATCGCTTAAAGCCAGTTTTCACCTAAAAGAAATAGGTTTCTTAATATCCACTTATTTATTCCGTAGGAAAAGAGGGTAAGCTTTCCTTTCAGCACCACCAAACTGCCGCTTTTTTCCTCTTCTAGAAGGTATCATTCAGAAAATCATACTTTTCAGGAATTTTGTTAAATATGTCTTAGAGTCCTAGGAACCAAGAAAAACTTTCTCCTTTGAAAAACTTTCTCCACTTCCTCCTGCACATTCTTACCCGGCTGCCAGCTTCTTTGTGGCGGCCATTAAAAGTAAGTTACAACTTTATGGTATAAAAAAAATAAGTGCGGTTTTCAAGTTGCTCTGAAAAATGTGACTTATAATAAGTACTTTGATTTTTCCAGTTAATTTGTAGCAGGCTTGAAATTTTATATTGACTCTTCCAATATATGATTCTCTCTGATCTTAAATCATCCCTTTTTATTTCCTCCTCCACCTTAAACAGACAATATATGATCAATATATTGCTTTCTTTTGTTAGCAAGCTGTTACCTAGTGGTCCTGCTGAGAAGATCCCATCAATATAATAAAAAGCAATAATTTGCATATTCTTGTGAAAAGACAAAGGTTGCCCAACAAGAGCATTAGCTTAACGTTGAGTAATTGGTTTCCTTTTAGTGAATGTAACTTCCAGATAAAAGATTGTAATTGCCTTTGACCCACTGGTGGGACCCAGGGATGGGACAAATGTTCTCTGAGTCTTGCAAATTTTGAATCCATATATGAAAGTAGTGTGGATGCCTTGATATGTATTGCATCTTTGGCAACTGATTCTTCCTCCTATGTGTTTTTATCCCTACAGTACAAGAGGCAAATATGGGGAAGGAGCAAAACAGGAGAAATTCAGATATGTTCTGTCTTTAGTCTTTATTCAGTGTGTGATAAATGCAATTTTCGCTAAGCTGAGTAAGTACATTAAAAAAATAAATCCGCAAATGATCCGTTTTGCATTCTCTTGATTCTGGAACCTGTTATAAAACTCCAAATCCAAACACCTTTTTTTCTTTTTTTTCTGGAAAGAATGTACTATAACTAGTGAAATCTGTAAGGAGGGAGGGAAAACAAGATGGTGGGCACAACTGACATCATACTACCATTTTAGTTTTTTTGAGAACTGGCCTCCTCCCTACCAGAGGACACTGCTGGCTGTGATTTGATTTGTCTGGCTATTTCAAACCCATGCATAAAATATCTCTCTTCTACTGCTAATTGTGGCAGTAGTCATTGTTCTCTGGTGGTTCTTCTTAGAACGAGAAGAATGCTAAGGAATTCCTTTTTTAGAAATGTATTTATTTCCCTTTCCCTCATTCCACATTTAGAAAAGGCCCTCTTCTCTAGCCATATCTATTGAAATCCACTGATGATTAACATAATGGATGGATAAATATAAATATACAGAGAAGCATGTTGTTGCTTATGTGTTTTTAAAGAGAAGCCACATGAAGGACAGCTGTATACCTCTTTGTTCCATATTTTGTTAAAATAGATGAAAAATAATTTACGTGTACTAAATCTCCTATATTTCCCATTTCAATGAAAATAGCACATTATATTTGGGCAGGAGAAAAAGTTATTTTCTCCTTATTCATAGTATACTGCGTTCTTCATCAGAGAAAAATGAAGCTTCTCAAATATATTTTTGTAAAGTCCTTTACTTTTTATTGTCCCTTTCTTCTACTGCTGCAGGAAAAATGAGTAGAAAATAGTAATTGGCAGAGACATGTGTGCATATTGTATATCATTTGAAAAGAGAAAGACAGATGGGTAGAAGGTTGTGTAGAAATCTCTCGTATCTTCCTCTTGGCATTTTCTTGAGTGTCCCAACTTTTCTTATCAGAATTGCATTAATATGCCTACACAGGGTTATTGAACTAACCAATTTTATAAATCTCTATGATACATAGAACTGAAAATAAGCACAACAGACAGGTTTATAAATGTGATTGCTTTCTTTGTGTTTAAACATAGCCACAAGTAAGAGATTTAGTCACTTTTAATTTGCCCCCAATTACTTAATTGTAGTTGGAGATTAGAGTAAAACTAAGTATTCTACACACCAATTGCAAATAGAGGTATGCTAATCATTTTGAGTTGAATTGCTTCTGATACAATGTAATTGTCTGACTATACTTTAAATGTTCTGGTATTGTTTTTTGTTTAACCTTACAGGATGTTCTGAGCCTAGAACAACCCTCTTGAACTCAGAACAGCTATACAACACATAATTCAGGTAGTCCTCAACTTGTGGCCATTCATTTATTGACCACTGAAAGTTAGATGCTGAAAAAAGTGCCTTATGACCAGTTCTTGCATTTACGACTGTCACAGCATCCTTGTATGGCGAAGAGGCAATTTTGGCCCTTGCCAAATGGCATCTATTTACAATAGCTGCAGCATTCCCAGTTATGTGATCATTTTCTCAGCCAGCCTGCAATTGTTAAATGAACGTGCAGGTTGTTAGGTAGAACATGGGGCCCTTAAGTGAGTACATGAGATCCTGGGAGGCCTACATCAGGCACAAGCCAAACTGCCTCAGACCTCCCAAGACTTCCACCACACTCCGAGATATCCCATGCCCACTTCCCTCTCCTGGGAGTCCCCACAGTTGCTTGGCACTCCTACATTCTCTTCCCGTTAGAATTGCACACTTACCTTTTGCAAACCTCCAAAGCTCATAAGGTTGGGATACAGAAGGGGGACAGGCCACTCTGTTGCTGGACCACATGACATATAATCCATAAGTGGCAGTCTTTTTCTGAGTGTAGCCATAAACTGCTTTGAACCAGCAACCCATGCAGCACAACAATGACGCAGTTTGCAGCTGCACAGCCTGATCATGGAAGGACCAGCTTGGAAAATGACAACCACTTATAGGATCCAAGCAAAAAGGGTCTTTGCTTTGCAAAAACAACAACAACCCTAAGCTCTCTTAAGTGGAGAGGTCTGTTTTGCTCTGCTTTTATTAGAGTGCTCTTTGGGACCCAAACCTTAATTCACCAGTAAAGACGACTGGCTCCCCCTTCTGCCCAGCACTATGTTAGATAGCGTGCAATGGGGAGGGGAAGCGGCTGTCTTTGCCAGTGAATGAAGACTTTGCTCCCAAACAGCTCACTAACGCCAGTGGAGCAAAATGGACCACCCCGTATACAGAGAGCTTAGTTTTTCTTTGGAAAGCAAAAGTCTCTTGTGGCTTGGATCCCAAAAGCAACTGTCATTTTTTAAGCCAATGCTTCCACAATCACACTGTGCAGCTGCATGGGTTGCAGGGTCAAAGCGGTTTATAGCTGCATGCGGAAAAAGACAGCCATGTGGCCCAGCAGTCCTTCTTCCCTACTCTGACTACCTCAGCTCTGAAGACCTTTGAAAGGTGAGTGATTGGTAACCAAGGTAAAGAGGAGTATGTGGAATCTAGTGGGGGGGGGTAGCAAAGCAGGCCAATGCTTTTGGAGACTTGGCGGGGCAGGATGCGGGGTGACTGGGGGAGCATCCTGGAGAGTCTCTGCAGTCAGTCATAAGGGCAAATGACTGTGGTGGTGCTAATAGCATAGCAGTCTTAACTTCTGAGGGGTCTATTGTAATGTTGCATGGTCTTAAGTAATTGGTCATAAGTTGAAGACTACCTATATTCTCTTTGGCTGGAAGAATTCTTGCCAGGCAAAGATTTAAATTTAATTTTGGCTTTATTTCATTTTTATTTGAATGTATGTTATCATTGTTGCTAACCTGGCAAACAACATGAAAGTGCTTTGTAGTCAGATCATCTTCTTACCTCCCCTCTTGGGAAGAGGTCTTGGAAACAGAAAATTATGGAGTTCTTAGTGTTCTCTGAGCTTGATTGTTTGCTTGCAGGTGTTTCATTACCCAAAGTTAATCTTATCAATTTCATTGGCTAATGAAACATTTGCAGACAATACCGTGAACTCTGCAGCTCAACATTGAACTGCAAATATTCTCTCTTGGAAGGAAAAAAAAATGTTTTACCTTTTGCTGTCCCTGAATTAAACATACATTGTGTTTAATGTAAACTTTTCCTACTAGTGATCCAGTTTTTTGATGCTGTCAAGGTGGACCGGACTCGGAATTGGCTCTATGCAGCTTGCGCTCTCTCATATCTAGGAGCAATGGTGTCCAGTAACTCAGCACTTCAGTTTGTCAACTACCCAACTCAGGTGAAAAAAGAGCAAAGGGTGAAAAAAGAGCAGAGAGTAGGTGAGGGTGCTTGATGGCTGGTGGGAGATTAGATAGAAAATGGAATAACTCTTCCTTTTTCTAATGAAGAGCTTGGCAGTTTATTTTATTATATCATGTATTAAAATCGTATAATAGTATAGAAAAGAGCCAGATAATTAATTCCTATATTGCTTATATTAAATTGATTATATTTCCATGGTCATTCAGAACTGATACTGGTAGGAGAAATAAGAAATTCTAGGCTTGATTTCAGTATTTTCATATTACAGTTTTGTCAAGACTCAAAGAGATACTTTACTTCAAGAGCGTTTTACATTTCCTTAAAGCTGCTTTGCTAGGCAAAAAGTCCCCTCATTTTTAAGACTAAGGGGTTGATTTACTTACCTAGCTATAGGGTACATAGGCTACTCCAGTCTCCCAAATCTGAGTGGTATAGAATTCCTTAATATATAACTAATTTAAATAATATACAGTGTACCTCAGTACTCATCGTAAATTGGTTCCAGAGGCGCGATACATACCAAACAAACTATGACTTATGAAACTATGAGTATCAAACAAACTATGTGACTGGAAAGGGTAGTGAGTCATGGGGCAGATGACACCAACAAGTTCTAGCTTGTGTGTGAAGTACCAAACAAATAATGAATACCAGGACAAAATTTTCAAGTCAAAATGCATTGAATACCAAATTTGATTAATTTCAGAACAGTTGAATACTGAGGTATGACTGTAGTCAGTTTAAAAACAACAACTAAAAACATTTTTATAGAACTGGAAGTCAAGAATAAAAGCTTTTTTAAAAAAATATGAAAGGTTTTAATTACAGTAGTAAAAGTAAATACAAACTAAACTCAGAAAAAGTAAAAGAAATAGAATAAAACATACACAGAAACAAATGATTGATGATGTTTTCTAATTGGGTAATGAAGAATCTTTAAACAAACAACTTAGCTCAAGAGCTTAGCCCAAGGATTCCAAACAAAGAAAAATAAAGAGAAAGCATATAATAAAGAAAAAGAAATATATAAAGAAATGACTTTCAATCTTTCAATATTCATCATAAATAAAAACTAATTTGACCCATCTTCTTCCTTTGACCCATTGCTAATCAATAGAAAAATCCTGAAATCATCAACTTTCCAATCCTGGGGTCAGGAAAAAGTCTATAAAGAGTTACCATAGATTTATAAAAAGATGTTTTAGTTTAACCTAACAATCTTCATTTTTAATTCATTCAAATGTGATAGAATTAGGTGTCTGTAATTTTTCTTTTTCCCATGGCAGAGGCTTTTAGCTTTAGCAAATCTTTTTTTCAAATCCAGTAAAAAAAAATCATTATCCAGGTCATTGTCTTGGCTTGCCGTTTGTATTTTCATTTCAAGTTTTAACTAGCTTCTTTTCTTTATCCAATAAAAAAACCTTAACAGGGGAATTCTCTTGGCTTATGACGTATAATTTCACTCTCACTGCCTCCTCTCTTGTAATCTACATTATTCTGCATTTCCATTTTGATTTTCAAAACTTTAATCAGCTTTGTGTATCCAGTAAAAAGTCCTCATCAGGATCATTCTCTTGGCTTGTCATTTGTAATTCTACTTTAACTGTCTCCTCTATTTTATAAACCATACTTTAAAAAAAAAAAAACAGTATTTCTGATTAAGGCATTTCTGTAGTACTTCAGGTATTTTTTTTGGATATGGTCCATCCATAAAACCAGACATCATTGTATTTCTGATGTTGTAGCTACTAATGTTTGGCCCCATTCTTTGAAAATCTCTTGAAATATTTCTAATGTTACAGAGTTTTGTGTCCTTTTGTGAATCCTCATATTAATCAAAAATAAAAAATCATATACCTTTTTTTCATTTTCTGTGTGAAATCTTTGATCACCTCTAATATCCAGTTCTTGAAGTGGCCTCAAGTTTCTGTTTTGACTTAAGATAGACAAAAACATTTGAATTCTCAGACATTATGTAATTACTTCCAAAATATTATTCTGTTGCTCTGATGTAAGATGGGTGGCCAATACATTTTATAAATAAATAAAATAAATAAATTTTATAATAAAAGCTGTTCCAAACATGTTTGGACTTTTAATTTATTTATAACCTCCTTAAATCAAATTTTTTTCCCTTTTCCCCTTTATTTTTGATTACATTTTTATTCTAAGAGGTTCCAAGAAGCGTGCTGATTCATTGGCATTTCCATGGTAATTGTCTCTGCTGTATCAGAGATGTGTTTATTTCACCTGGGAGCCCAAGAATAAAGCTTTAACAATGTTACAAAGATGTATGTTGCTTTGCTGTTGAGCTCCCCTTAGCCATTTTTTGCAGTCCTGGTTGAAGGTCTATTAGGCTTAACAATTTTGCTGCCAACCTATAGGTTGTTCATGAGAAGCTGTCAGTGGGACCCTCTAGGACAGAGGTTGCCAACCTTTTGGACCTCAAGGACCACCAAACTCATAATTTTAAATCCCGGGGACCATTAACTGGTTCTGTGGGCATGGCCTAATTTGTGGGTGTGGCTTGGTGGTCATGTGACTGACTGGGCATGGCTTGTATGTAAATATTATAAATATATGAATATTGATATTTTTATGAAAAATATCAACTTTTACCCAAAATCAGGCAAAGCAGGCAGGCAGATTGAGTTGCTCATAGAATCACAGATTCATTCAGAGATCTGTCTGCTATCGGCTTGCTCAGTCTGTCACATAAAATTTGCTAGCAAGCAAACTCACAAAATTAACTCACAACACACCATGTATGTATATATTGAATTTTTTATAAAAAAAGAGCAACTTTTACCCATAATCAGGCAAAGCAGGCAGGCAGATTGAGTTGAACCATTCAGTGATCTATCTATATGCCATCGGCTACCCGAGTCTGTCACATAAAATTTGCTTGCCCTGAGTCTGCACCGAATAATAAAACCTTCAGTCCTAAGGGAAGTTCGGCTGTGCTTAAAAGCAGAGCCGAAGATCTAAAGATTAGCTAGAAAGCAAGAAATTCAATCATCTCCTGCTTCCTAGCTAATCTAAATCTCCCGGTACAGCAGAACAGCTGATGGTCGGAAAAAGGAAAAATAGCAATTTAGCAGGCAAGTTTGCCGGGTAAGGAGTGAGTGGGCGGGGAGGGTTCTCGCGTGCCATGTGGGCGGCCAGCCTTGTGTTTCTGCGCAGCCTGGATTAATAGCTTTGGGGTAGGGGGTGCTCTGGGGGTGAGATTTCTCTGGCCTACCAAAATTTTCTCGCGGCCCACCAGTCGGCTGCGGCCCACTAGTTGGCAACCGCTGCTCTAGGAGTGCACAATGGTCTCTTGGGCCAGTTAGCTCCCTTGGTATATCTGGAGGGAATCTCCAAGGCCAGAAGATTGCAGCACAAATGAAGGAGCTTTCTCCCATTCCCATTCCCACTACACAGAGCGATTTAATCATTTTGTTGAAGAGAATGTTTATGCTCCTTTGCTGAACCCCAATAAATAATGTATTGTTAAATGAACCAGGCTTTGATTTGATGTATGAACATGTCTTTCAACTCAGTGAAAGCAAATTTGTATGTATATTTTGTAATAAGTGCCTTGAAATATGTGTTAGATGTAGAAGGGCCAGATAGTGGTAAAGTTGTTCACTTACTATAGCCCCAAGATCAATGCCCACTGCCTATAGAAGCTGAAATTTGAGTAAAAGAGCCAAATGTGATTCTTTGTATAAAAGAGAAGACTGGATAGGAGGTAAAGAGGTAGCAAAGAAAGAAAAAAATAGATGTGGGAGTAAAGAGTTTTAAAAGGAACCACCACAGCTTTAAAATAAACATAGAATGTAATGGCTTTATAAAGAAAAGAGAAATAATTAGCTAATAAGGTGTGGCTTCTATTTAGAACATGATTAGCTTCTGCACCTTAAGCAGCTAGTTTCCACCCTCCGCCATACCCCACCCCAGTTTTTCACATTCTTCAAGTGCCAGAGATGTAGAAGATTATAGCCAAGTGAATTTCTTTCTTCTTTTTTAACTTTCATAGGTCCTTGGAAAGTCCTGTAAACCTATCCCAGGTATGCAATCCCTGATCCTATACTGAAAACCATGTGTGCCAGGGAACGCTTGAGATACATTGCCCACATCAATTGAACCTGATTGTTTAATGTAACTTCTAAAGTTGGAGTTCCATAATAGTTTTAGCTGGTATTTGGGAAAGGGGGTGAGTAGGAAAAATGGGAAAAGGAAAGCAATGGCTGTTGATACTATGTGGCTAATATAGTTGGATCACTTCATGTTCAGATCTGCACGTACCAGCTGTTTACCTGAGTGAGGTGAGATAGCCTAGCAGATTTAGGTTCAGGATCGAAGGCTCCACAGAATTCTTAAGAATGACCAGTAGAATGACCAATATGCAAGATAATATGCAGTGGTCATGAATTAAATTTCTTAGCAGAACTATTGGGAATATACTTTTTCCAACATTTTTTTTCCTTTTCTAGTCATGCTCCTGGGAGTGACAGTGCTGAAGAAGAAGTATCCATTGTCCAAATATTTCTGCGTCTTACTTATTGTCACAGGTGTGGCCTTGTTCATGTACAAGCCAAAAAATGTAGGAAGTGTTGGGGATGAGCATGTTTTTGGTTATGGGGAACTCCTGCTGGTAAGTTCTAAATTCTTAAAAAGCAAAACTAAACAAAAATTATGAGGAAAATTGCCAGGTGCTAAATTATATTTTGTAGAGAAGTGGGAGGGATGCCTCTCAAGGACATAATCTTTGTTTACTTTGGCACTTGACATTTTTCTTTGCATGTTTCATTAAGCTGCCAGTGACTTACTGCACTGTAAATATTTCTTTAAAATATTTTATTGCATGGAACAATTAATCAAGCTCCCATCCTACTAACAAAATAAGACTTAATAAGTAATGTATGATTTAACATCTACCAAAAAAGAGGGCAGGGGACTGGAGGAAGTGAAAAGAAGGTCTGGGAATTCGCTCTGTAGCAATTCCCCTCCTCCCCCCCCCCCCCAAAAAAACCCCAAATGCTTTTCTCCTTTTTTAAGAAAGGTAATTCAAATCCTTGCTGTGAGTCAGGTCCTTTTTTGCTCTTCCAATATTATATGTATTTATTTAATTAAGTTATTTACAGGAGTTATACGGCTGCCTATTTCATATAATGATTCTAGTCAGATGACAACAGCTCATAAAAACCCTTCCCTCAGGCGCCAGACCCAACAGCCTTCCAGCTCATTCAGCATCCTATCTCAAGGAAAAGGCAAATTTTTGGTCCCAGGTCTTTGCTCCTCTGGAAGGCTAAAAATATATGGAGAATTTATAAGTGATTCTTTTGGCCATCTCCCAAGTAAGAAAAATCCAGTTACCGATGTCTTAGTAAATTTAAGCTGCTGTAGGTGTAGCAAAGCAAAATATTTACTTCTTTATCTAGCTATATCACTAGTCCATCAAGTTGTGAATGTTTAAAAGTTCACAACTCAATGGCCCCAAAGCAATATGGTTTTACTGAAAGCAGGTCACGTCAAACTAATTTGATTGACTTTTTAACCATGTCACTAATGTTTTGGATGAAGGTAGTGCTGTGGATGTAGCCTATCTCGATTTTAGCAATGCATTTGATGCAGTTCCATATAATGAACTCATTAAAAAGTTGTATGGACTAGGGCTTAACCATTGGGTGGTCCAGTAGATAGGAAGTTGGCTCAGGAATAGATCTCAGTGTCTGATTGATAATGGGGCAATATCTGAACACAGACCAGTCACAGGTGTAGTGTACTATAAGGTTCAGCCATAGCACCTCTTCTGTTTGCTGTGTTTGTTAACTGATATAATAATAGAAGGACTGCTAGTGGGTAAGGGATGTCTTTTTGTAGCTGATGCAAAAGTTTTGGGAAATGATTTGACATTGCTGGAAAACTGGTCAAAAATGTGGAGAATGCAGTTTAATGTTTCTAAATGTATGATAATGCATTTGGTTAGACATAACAACAGAAGAAAAGGATTTAGGTATGCAGATGACTGAAAAATGAGTAAACAGTGTTAAACAGGCAGCTGTGAAGGCAAACAAAATTCTGGGATGCATCACTTTGACAAATCACCAACAAGAAAAAGGAGGTCCTAATACCATTATGTAGAGCTTTAGTCAGACCTTGTTTTTTAAGTTGTGGAGACCTCACTTAAAAAAAAAAGAGATTGGTAAGATTGAGCAAGTCCAGAAATGGGCAACAAAAATGGTGCAGGGTCTGAGGGATTAAACCTAACAAGACAGATCGGAGGAATTGAATATGTACAGCCTGGAAGAGAGAAGGGAAAGGGATTAACTTTTAAATAGGTGGATAAGGTTCTACAAGACAGTGTTTTCAATATTAAGCACAAATCAAGAACAGGGGAACATAGCCTCAAACTGACAGGTGGGAACTTCAGGGATAATGTTAGAAAGTATTACTGCATGGAAACAATAGTAGAAACTTAGAAACCTCTTTCAGCAGAGATGGTGGGTCAACTATCAGTAACTGAGTTTAAACATGCTCAGGATAAATAACATGTCCATCATCTGACAAAATTTTAAAAATAAATAACATAAAAAATAATAAATTAAAAAGATAACAAAAAAAAAAACCCTCAAAGGGCAGATCTGATGGACTATATCAATGATTGTTGATATTATGTGACTAGTAGGATGGGATGGGTTCATGTGCAAATCTGTAAGCATCAGGCTTTGCCCGAGTTAGAATTTCCAACAGTCAGGAAAAGATGGCCAATAGAATTATTTATTTTCCCGAAAGCAATCCCTACTAAAACATAAATGTTACTTTTACCATCAAAATAATTCTGGAAGTTTTCCAGCAAGTTTTAAGAATGATAACATTTCATCCTTACGGGTCAGTTAAGGGACCAAACTAAACTGAGCAGAACTCGGTTCATAGAATTTGCAAATGCTATTAATATCTGAACCCAATGGACAGTATTTTCACATTCCAGTGAGGTTTCAGAGATGTATATCATTCAAAACAGTAGTATTTTTCTTCATCAACGTTAGACTGTGATTCTCTTCCCTTCCATCATTTTAGTTGCTGTCTTTGACTCTGGATGGTTTAACTGGGGTGTCTCAAGACCATATGAGAGCTTACTACCAGACTGGTTCCAATCATATGATGTTAAATGTTAATCTGTGGTCCACTTTGTTCCTGGGTGCTGGTAAGAATATTCTTTTGATTCAGCAGAAGAAAAATATTGCTGATTTGAATTCCGTAATTCTGCAGAAGAAAAGTGGGAAGCTATGCATATGTTACTCTGTATGTGACTACACACACAGGCATTTGCATGTGTGCATAAGGAACCATACTTTTGAAACTTGTGGGAATCCTTGTGTTGTAAAGCTTGGAGCATCAGTTGCCTAATTGGTAGACAGTACTTCCTTCCATCTTCATATATAATGTTTTATGGTACTGTATATTCACCTAATTAAAGTTGTTTCCACACAGATTACTGTTAATTGGATTAGGGTAAATATTGCCTTGTATAATACTCAATTATTTAGGAAGCTTATTTAAAATAATCCCATAGTGATGGCTACCCTATTAGAACGTGCATGTGCCCTTATTTTGCTTTAATATCACAATTCATACCTCACCCAATCTTATCTTGTTTCAGAAATGTGATAGCTCTTCTCCAGAAGGGCAAGCAGTGGTGCTTTGTTGCTCCTGCAGCAGCAACCTGGCAACCCCTTCTCTCTCAAAAGCTGTTCCTGGCCACTTTGGGGTATGTGGGAATCCCAGTGCAGGTTGGCAGTAACACTTCGTTCCTCCATTTGGTGTCTCCCTTGTTCCAGAAATATAGATATGGTTCTGATTTCCTTTGACTGCAAAGAGTTAAGCCATACTCTTTATTTTTGTGTGTGATGGTTAGATCCTCTCTGGAGAGACTACCTTAGGAGAAAAGATTGGATAATTAATGAAAAGGAGCAGCCCTTGCAGCCAAAGTAATTTGGAGAGCAATTGTTCCCCTCTTTTCAATCAACTGGCATTTACAGAAATAGTGTGGAGTGCAATTCAGCAGAAGCTGTAAAAAAGGGTTTGTGTCCTCTTTAAGTGTCCAGGAAGCAAGGTACCAGTCAGCTTCTGAGTTGACTAAAAGAACATACAGAAATAATGCCCCAGTGCCTTCTGACCTGGGTGGGGGTCTGCAAAAAGTGTGCACAGTTGAATGTAAGATCCAGTCTGTCCAGCTCTGTTAAAAGCAAACATTTCTAGCATCAAATTATCAAGTTCTTCCATTTTCTGAGAACACCCTTGCCTCCCTCTTTTACTACCTTCAAAATTTGCGAGCTGCAGCTCCCATCATTCCTGGCCATTGGCATATTGGCTGGCTATAAATGATTAGGAGCATTTGGTTACCCTATCCAGAAGACTCCAGATTCTGCATTTCTCCAGGAAATCTGTTTTATAGAAAAAGGGCCTTTCTTTTACTGCACAAACTATATTGATCACCAATTGGCTTCCGGGAATTTTCAATATGCTGTTTGCATATTTAAGGCCCTATATAGTCTTCAGCAACGTCATCTGTGCATTCGCCATCTCCCATATTGATCTGCCTAACCAATCAGATCAAATAGGGTCAGCTCCCTCCAGATCTTATCTATTTTGGGAAATGGGCCTTCTATCACTTCTCCTGAAGAAATCTGGTCTACCAGTTCTATTCTGGGTTTCAGGAAAGCAGTTAAGAGTTGACTTTCCTATCTAGCCCAGGGGGAAGCCATTTTGGGAATGCTGGGATGTATTAGTGGCTCGTCCCTTTACAATGTTGCATTACTCTGAGTTTCACTGCTTGTGTAGAACATGTCCGGTTAAAAAGAATATGGTTTGGGAGCCAAATAGGACTGGTCATTGGATGGTCGAGGCACAGGGAGAGATTTTATTATTGTGTTCTATTTTCTTTTTCCCTAGGTATTTTTTTTACAGGTGAGCTTTGGGAATTCTTGAGTTTCACTGAGCGTTATCCTACCATCATCTATACTATCCTTCTCTTTGGCCTAACCAGTGCTTTAGGTCAGGTAAGCAGTTAGTTTTTTCTGTGAGCTAGTGTGGTGCTTTAACTGTCAACATTATGTTATACCATGGATGCAAATGCGGTATGTTATAAAAAAGATACGTTACAAGGAAAGTGTTACCAGCTATTTCTCAAGACATGTAATCCTCAATTTATGACCACAGTTAGGCCCCAAATTTCTTGTTAAGTGAACTTTGTTCCATTTCATGCCAGGGTAAATCTGGCTTCACCATTGATTTTGCCTAGCAGAAGATCGTAAAAGGGGACGCTGGGACACTGCAAACCATCGTAAATATGAGTCAGTTACAAAATATCTCAATTTTGTTCATGTGACCATGGAAATGCTGCACCAGTTGTAAGTGTGAAAAACGGTCATAAGTCACTTATTTCAGTGCTGTTGTAACTTTGAACAGTCACTAAATGAATTGTTGTAAGTCGAGGACTACCTGTATCTTGACCCCACCCCTTCACCCCCAATGGCTTGTTTGTGAGATTCTGTCAGGGCAGAATACTTCATTCGTCCCTTCCAAAAGTATCTCTGTGTTCCTCATAACATTTTCTTGTGTGAAGTACATTTTGATGTATTCAGACTGATCACATTAAATCAGGAATATTGGTTTAATAAAATACTGCAAATAAAGTACATGATGTGTATGCAAGTCGTCCAACTTTAAAGTAGATAAGGATGATATATATATTTTGGCTTGTTATCTGATTGCAGGATAATTATGTAAGCCAAAACAATCCAGAATCATCAGCTTTAATCCAGGATTTATTATCGGCTCACAAATTTTAGATAACTTAGCATGACTTTAATTCCTGCTTTGGTTATGTCCCCATGGTTATGTCTCCTTTTCATATTTGGCTAAATTTTTTACACAAAATTAAAAGCACTCTAATTCACAGAATCATTTAAAATGATATATGAAGCAAAGATATGATTAAAGCAAGCCTTCCCAAAATATCACAGGCTATCTGTTATTTGAAACAATTTTTTTTAAAGTTCCAATCACATAATAAATTTCCTATTGTCATGCTGTTACCATTATAAATTTCACCTCAGTCTCTTTGCTTGAAATGGATTTTCTTTCTTTTTTATCTTGTATTATCTTCTTCCTTCTATGTTGTTTCCTAGGTTGCACGTTTTTGTTGCTTACCATTTCAGAAGATTTAAAGTGTTGCTTTCCTTCTGTCTTTTGCCTTTAGCACTAAAAAGGGAAGTGGCCCTGCTTTTGTTTTGCTGTATATTTGTTGAAGACAATACAAAGGACGCTGCTTTTGAAAGTGATTATTAGACCCTTTGCCTCGTTGCTGTGATTTAAGGGACAACAGGGGGGGGGGGGTTACCTTATATTCCAAGATCGTCTGTAATTTCTCTTTCAAACATTCCATAATTATAAGTGGTCTTATGCAAGCTCAATAATAAAAAAAAATGTCCCATAGTGAAAAGTTGGAGGGAAGATGTCTTTACAGAGAGGCTACAAGATGAAAGTGATGCAAGACATATATTTCTGACCAAGCCTGCATGGTCTCCCCCCCTCTTTTTTTTATTGCAGACTTTCATTTTCATGACTGTGGTTTATTTTGGGCCTCTGACCTGCTCTATTGTCACCACAACTCGCAAGTTCTTCACTATTTTGGCTTCAGTCATTCTGTTTGCCAATCCTATCAGTAACTTACAGTGGATGGGTACCATCCTGGTATTCCTTGGTAAGAGTGCAGCTTTGTTTTATTATTTGGGAAATGTCAACCTTCTTTCCAGTGTATGATTTCCTGCAAAATAGAAACCAGTTAGCTATTTCACTAGGTTTCTCATTTTTCTAAGTGTAGGGGTTTTATTAGTTTTACTTAACTTAAATCTATTTATAGGATCCTTAGCAGTCTGCAATGATGTACACTTTTTCCTATGTGCCATTCTTCCCTTAAACTGTACTCCACCAAATCTAGTCTTCAACTATAGTGAAGATTAGACAAAACCCATTTAATATGCTGGAAAAGTTTGATGATTAATAGTAGAAAAAAAACAGCAGAAAGAATTTGCCAATGTTCAAATGCCAGAAGAGTTGAAAATAGTATTCCTATGTGAGACAACATGACCAAAGAGAAGATTTTTTTCTTGCTTAATCACGGGTATTAAGAGTACCTGAAAATAGGCTGATGTATTAAATACTCTGCAACTGTGAACTTCAGTTCCCAGAATTCTAAGAAATGATTATTTTGACAGAAGAATTCTGGGGATTGAAATTTAAACATCTGAAGAGTGTCTAGGTTGGGAAAATCTGAATTAACACTTCAGGTAAAGTTGCTGATAGTGAAAGGATTGCAATTTTTAAACTAAATCATGCTTTCCCAACTGGTTTTAACCTATTCTGTTTTGCTTCATCTGCACCTTCAATTTGCTTTAAGATATGTTACATTGTGTGGTTGTGTTTTGCTTGTTATCACATCTTCTTTTCACCACAATACTTTTAGTGGTTATGCCAGGGTTCAGCAATTATTCTGTCTTAGCTCAGCAGATTTAAAATCTGCTTCATACTGTACTCCCACAGATAATAATTACTTGTACAGAGAACTATTAAGTGAGATGCTTTTAAATCTGCATCATCATTTCTGGGACATTCTTGTAAGCTGAAAATCTGCTTCTAAGCTGCCAGGGTAGCTTGGTGTATTCCAAAATTATCCCAAGTTAGAAGCCTTATTCACCCATCCTCTTTTACTCAAAATCGTCCCCAACCCAACACTTTGCCCTGTAGCATCATTTCCAACCCCGGTTAATGTTCCTATTTGTTTTTCTGCAGGACTTGGCCTAGATGCCAAATTTGGGAAAACATCGAAGAAAACTTCACACTAAGAAGATTCTTGGGTTTCTCTTGAAAATTTCTAAGCATAAGGAACTATTAACTTATTGTCTTATTTCCCACTAATGGGAATTTGGCTCAGGATGAATGCTTGGGGAAAGAGGACAGCATAGGAATTTTATTGTTTTTATTCAAAATGTGTTTAATTTTTTTAATGGTAGCTTTATTTTACTAAAAATCAAAGGAGTAGCTTTTCCATTTCTACCGAGGAATCACAACTGTAGTTAATGGATGGCAAAAGGAAATTCTTGGTGAAATAGGACAAATGCTTAATGTGAAATAAAAGGAGGGACGAGAAAAAACCCTATATGTTTATGTTTTAAATTTTATTTTCCACCTCTTGTGCCTCGCCAGGGTGGAAGGGGAGGTGTTACAGTATTTATTTAGTTTTTTTACTTATACAATAGTTGTATACTGCCTATCCTAGAGACTCAGAGCAGTTTAACAGTAGAGTAACCATAAATATCCATCATAGGATAAAACAATTTTCAGACCAACCAACCCTCTTCTTTTTCTGTATCTAGATCAAACTTTTGACTGCCAGAATGAAACCACTCTCTTGGTTTTGTCATTGGCCAAAAATAAGTCATTATTTTCTGACTGCCAACAATTTAGCAGTTGGAGTCTCACCAACTCAAGGTTGACTCAGCCTTCCATCCTTCCAAAGATGACCCAGATTGTTGGGGGCAATATGCTGACTCTGTAAACTGCTTAGAGAGGGCTAAGCACTGTGGAGCGATATATAAGTCTAAGTGCTATTGTTATTATCAGTACCTGTTTCTGGTAGTAGCTGACTTAGTAGCCCAGCAGATGGGCTTAGCTCTGTGTCTCTCCACATTCACACAGCATGTTGTTATCCACTAAGAGCCTCCACTTGAGCATATTGCTTCAATCAAACCAATCAAAACTCTACATACATAGTATTATAAAACAAAATATAATCAAATAAATTAAAATTAAGCACTGTGAATTTTCTAACAAGGTGTTCTACGTAAGTTTGATAGAATAATTTATAGAGCATTGAAACTACTTCATGGAGAAGCCCTTTCCCTCCAGAAAATAGTTGAGGTAGCTATCCAATATTACATTCTCACACAATGCTATCTTGGTAATTTAAAAACTGCTTTATAGAACAATCAATCTATCATGGCTTTGTAAATCATAATAGATTAGTTCCTTTATCACACTAAGTGAAAAGCAAACTGTTATGTTTTAGCATTTATTTGGATAGGTTTGGTGGAGTTTTCTTCTTAGATGAACATGCTCAGCTTCAACCTGGCTTATTTAAATCTGAAGGGGTAGAGGTACCAGAAAATTCAGCTGCCTCGTGGCCCTGAACATTCGGGTGCTTTTCAAGTTCATCTGCTGCTTAGGAAAAGTAGGGACTTCCCTGTCTATATTCAAAAAAAGTGATCACCATTACACAATTTTGCCCATGTAACTAACACCCACAATTTTTTTTAAAGACATTTTTAAAAATAGCTGAGATCTCAATAAAAGTTTTAAAATTTGGCTATTTTTTAACATGATTAAAGTTCATATAATTTTAGCATATTAATATTAAGAACTTATTAAAATTATTTGATTCAGATCCACTGGATCCTAGGGGTACACAAAATGTCCAAAATACATTTCAACGTTTGAAAATATGCTTGAGTTTGGATGGTCCATGCCCAAACCAATACGTTCCTTTCAACATTTTAGTCCAGGACTGAAACACAGAATTGGGTCAGAGAAAACAGGAAACAAGAAAAAGTCAAGAACCAGGAGAGTGTGGAAAGGATAGTCATGAGAAAATTGTGAAGTGGGCAGTCTGGCAGAATATGCCTGGTCAGGGAATGTCTATTTCATATTCTATGAGAGGATATTCTTGTGCTAAAGTGGAAGTTTCTGATAACAGGACTGGGGGCATATAACCAGAATTAGAGATAACTTGGTAGAATTTAAGAGCCACAAGCAATCATCTTGCACATATCCCTTTCTTTGTTTCCAGATTTCTATTGCAAATAAAAACAATGTGATATTTTTATAAACAAAGGGTAATATCATAATTAGGTATAATATTTCCAATACTTAATACTGAACTGGCATGACACAAAACTAAACAAACACTTTTGGGAGCATGATTTTCTGCATCTAATCACAGTTTGCTCATGATTCTGGTTTCTGTACTCAGGAAGTAGCACAGAGTGCCAAGAGAAGTCATAGATTTTTCTTTTGATTAAGTCATATATTGATTCTTATGATCACATATGCAGAATTGACTGGGCACAGGAAGGAATTGCAGTGGCTAGTTCCAAAAATGTTCATTTAGTGCTTGGATTGTTTGGCATAAAAATAGGTAGTAATTGGCCTATTTCTTTTAAAAGAATGAGTTGATAAGAGAATTTGGAACTTGCTGATGAAGCTCGTAATGTTAAAAAAAAACATTTTCTAAAGGTTATTAATCATGAAACCACAGGGAAGCCTGCTTTCCTAATATTGGTAAATAGCAACTTTGAAAGTTTTTTTCCCGTATCTGAAAGAAAGACAAGTTACAGAAGCATAGAGAGGCCACATCTTCCTTCAGTGAAGCTTGATGCCTCATGGCCACAAAGACAACTTCATTGCTTTAGTGATATACTTTGTCATTTTTCTGATTTAAAACCAAACCAACCCTCTTCCCAATCTTACAACCTGGGGGGATAACAAAGGTCTCTTATCCAAATACTCACTGGCTTGTGAGGTCAGTTTTCTAGATCAGCCAAGGCTTCCTATCTGCTGCCACCTGCAACAATGAAGAGGCTGTGCAGGCACTATTCTTCATGATCAATAGTGTACTTGAAGGAGGACAAAAGTCATAAGGATATTCTGCCTAACATTCATCCCTTTTACAGTATAAACCAGGGGTGTCAAAACTCGATTTCATTGAGGGCCACATCAGGATTGTTTTTTTATTGGGGGAGCGTGGCCAGGGGAAATGTTGGCCAGCTCAATGCCACTCGTTGAGGCTCTATTTTCATCTATGACAGCTTCCTGCAGACCTCTGTCAATAAAAATGGAGCTCGGGGGCGCCATACGCAGCCTCCCCGAGCTCCATTTTTACTGGCAGAGAACGAAAATGGAGTCCAGGCGGGCTGCATGCAGCCCTCCCGAGCTCTGTTTTTGCTGGCAGAGGCACCGCGGGCCAGTTCACTGTTTCCAGGGTGGCCCCATGGGCCAGATCTAAGCACCTCGCGTGCCAGATCCAGCCCACAGGCCTTGAGTGACACACCTGATATAAATTAATGTGGGAAAGTCAAGATGGTTGCTTGAAATCAATTACGTTGTTCAATACTGGGTGATGCTTTTCACTACCATTTTCATCTTGCCTTTTAACACTGAAGGTGCTGTAGGAATAGTTGGAGTCTATTCCTGAATAAACTCATTTCTCTTTCCCAGCCATGCTTCCCTAAACTTCTAAGACCTGCATTATAAAATGTTTAAAAAGCCCCCTGTTTTAATTAAGCAGCAGCCCCCAAGAGCTGCGCCAGGCATTCTCTTTTGAGTTCCCTAGCATGGGAAGGAGGCGGGCAGTTAACATAAGGCTGCCTTGGAAGCTCATAGACTGAGGTCTCTGTGGAGCAAACTTTACACATGAAAGCGCGTCTCCACCAGCTGTCGCAACCAGGCTCCATCTGCTCTGTGCTTTTGGCCTCTCGCCCTTCCAGATGGGACCTTGATCTCCTTTCCTTGGTGGCGCTGGCAAAATGTGCTCTCTCCTCTCTGGTCCCCATCTTTTCCAATTTCTTTTCAGCCTTCAGCTGATGGTTACATTGATCTTTTTGGATGTGTTTGTTCTCTGCCCCCTCTTCTTTCCAAAATTAGACCTTTTGCGATATTGGAACATTGGACCGGGAGGCATTATTGTAATCCTGTTCCTTATTTTCCTAAAAATCAGCCAGAGGGAAAACGGCAGTTTCTTTCTTTAGTCAATTCTGAAAAGGGTGGCTTCCTTGGAGTGGATGTATAAAAGCAACCCCCTTTTCCCATAAAATTGTAACAGGAATGGAGGGCGGGGGGGGGGGGAGAGATAGCTCTTGTCATTCCCAACCAGTGTGGTTTTTTTTAAATTATTTTTTAAACTTGTATGCTGTCCAAATTCCAATAACTCTAGGATACAAAAGACATTTGTTATTCATGTTTTTTAAAAATTTGTAACAGAAGTGATCAAACATATACACATAACAGAAGTGATCAAACATGTATAAAAAGCATCTGTTGGAGAAGAACATAATCATGTCAGGGAGCTTTTATTTCTAATAAATCCTATAATACAGCCTGCTGTTTGGCCCTACAACAACCCTGTGAAGGCAATACAGTTGAGAAGAGGACAGGGGCAACTACAGTTAGTCCTCGACTCATCACTACAATTGAGTCCAAACTTCTGTTGCTAAGCAAGGCATTTATTAAGTGAATTTTGCCCCATTTTATGATCTTTCTTGCAACAGTTGTTAAGGGAATCATTGTAGTTGCAAAGCTAGTAATAATGCTTGTTAAGCGAATCTGGCTTCCCCATTGACTTGCTTGTCAGAAGTTCCTAAAAGGTGATCGCATGGCCCCAGCACGCTGCAAACCATCATAAATATGAGTCAGTTGCCAAGCATCTTACTTTTTGATCACAGGATTCTGGGAATGCTGCAATGATCATAAGTATGATAAACAGTCTTAACCCATCTTTTTCAGGTCTGTTGTAACATTAAACAGTCACTAAATGACTGTTTTAAGTCAAAGATTAGCGCTATCTCCTCAACCAGAGAAGGACTTAACTCCTTAAGTGTTAAATGAGTCTGAGTGTTTAAATGATTGTGAACATGCAGCTGGATTGTCCTCAATGTAAGACCACTGAACAGCTCCATGCAAAACAAAGCAGTCTAAAAGAATATTTATGAATTGATTACCAACTAATCAAATTCCTGAAACTTTTAATTGTAGCTTTATATGGCACTTAGTAAAACAAAGATAAATAATACATGGTCTACCAAAAGTCAGCCCCCCATGTAGATAATGCCTTTCATACATTAACTTAAATGCTTGAATGGGTTATTTCTTCTACACACTTTCCTATTCATTTAACACACCACCTTTGAACATTCCTATTTATGGTAATTTTTCTCTAGAAAAATAATTAACACAAGCAGTTCTCAACTTATGGCCACAATTGGGACCAGAATTTCCGTTACTAAGCAAGGTGATTGTTAAGTGAGTCGTGCCTGATTTTATGAGCTTTTTTTGTTTGTTTGTTAAGGCGGTTAAGTAGATCACTGCAGTTATAAGTGAATCTTGTGGTTGTTAAGCAAATCCAATTTCCCTGACGACTTCATTTGTTGGAAGCTGACTACAAAAATTACAGATGGTGATTGCATAACTCCAGGTATTGCAGTGCAACTGTCATAAATATGGTGCCAGTTGCCAAGTGCCCAAATTGGGGGTGCTGCTGCAACAGTTGTTCAGTGTAGAGGACTGATTGTAAATCACTTCTTTTAGTGGACATTGTAATTTTGAATGATTGCTAAGCAAACGGTTGTAAGTCAAGGTCTGCCTATAAAACAT